TTAATGTATTTTTAATCTTTTGTTGGAAGCCGCCCAGAGTGGCTGGGAAGACCCAGCCAGATGGGCGGAGTAGAAATAATAATTATTATTATTAATAATTATCAATTACCGTATTTTTCGCTCTATAACACGCACCTGACCATAACACGCACATCGTTTTTAGAGGAGGAAAACAAGGGGGGGGGAATTCTGAATGAAACAGTGGATGTATCATTTTTGTGCTTCATGCTGTGGCCACAGACATGTGATCTGATGGTGAATTTGGGGTGACCCAATGCAAAAATCCTGAGAATTCCTGTGGATTCACGCTTTGTAACCACGTTTTTGCACCATTGCAGCTCCAAGCAACAGTGGGTGCGTGATTTTGGGGGGGCAGGCTGTAGCCATGGACATGCTATGTGATCTGATGGTGAATTTGGGGTGACACAATGCAGAGATCCTGAGAATCCCTGTGGATTCATGCTTTGTAACCACGTTTTTGCACCATTGCAGCCCCAAGCAACAGTGGGTGTGTGATTTTGGGGGGGCAGGCTATAGCCATGGACATGCTATGTGATCTGATGGTGAATTTGGGGTGACCCAATGTAGAGATCCTGAGGATCCATGTGGATCCGTGCTTTGTAACTGCATTTTAAGTGGGGAGGGAAGGAAAAACACAGAAGGGACAAGGAGCATAAGAATGCAGGAGAGATTTAAAGGGAGGGAGGAAAGAAAGGCAAAAGTCCCCCCACCCCACCCAAGCCAGCCCTCTCTCTCCCTCTCTCTCTTCCTCTCTCTCTCCCTCTCTCCCACCTGCATGTTTTCTGGCTGCCTGCGAGGAGCAGGGAGAGGAATTAGAAGGAAGGACGCTCTGCTTTCCCCTCTGCTTGCCTGGAGGGGAGGGGATTTGCCTGCTCATTGTTCCGTTTGAACAAACACAGCAACGAAACACAAGCGGGTGGGCAGTAAGACCCTGAGGCAGAATGGTGGAAAGCAGCCGCTTCCTCTTTTCAGGTTTCCCTTCTCCGACACGCGATTTGATTTTTGACTGATTTTTGTTGCTGCGCTTGCCCTAGTCGGCTCCAGGGACCACACATTCGCTCAATAACACACACAGACATTTCCCCTTCCCTTTTAGGAGAAAAAATCTGCGTGTTATAGAGAGAAAAATACGGTAATAATTAATATCACTAAGTTTCCACTACAACCCGCAAGTCCCTTTCCTGGTCAGTCACTGTCAGCTCAGACTGGAGAGGCATTGTTTTTTGTTCTGCCCTGTATTCATTGCATGCAGCACTGTCTCCATTCCACTACAGTTTGTCTTCTTCCAAAAACAACATTATCCCTCCGCTATGGTAAATTTACATGACTTGCATAATTAATTATGTAGATAATGTAAATTGCATAAATTACATTGTCATTAGGTTATTCCACCCAATTCATTTCAATGAAAAGGAAACACAACGCAAGTGGGGTGTGTGGGTGGGTGTAATAAATTACATAGCATTTGCTGAAAGCAACAACAGTGAATATGGATCATATTAGTTGACTTGGTCTTCCTTCTGGACATGGGACACATAAGCAAACACTGGCCATTTCTGCTCTCATTTCCATTACAACTCTCTGACATCCTTACCTCAGGCCCCATCAGCATATGTCAAGTATGGGGAACTTTTAGCCCTCAAAGAAGTTGCTGTGTTTATAGTTACATCAATAGATTGATCAACAAAAGTGGAGATGATTAATCAATGAGGACCAATTTTAATTGGTGAGGCTTGGAATTATGGACATGCAGACCATTTTTTTCCTAGTATGTAAGTGTAATAAAGAAAATGTTAAATATGGGCTCCCTGCTAAAGAAGCTTGAAAAATACACTTCTGTAAAGGGTCTGGGGTCCTGTACCCTGATATCCTTGCCGTTGGCCAACTGCAATTCTCATGGTTCTTTGAGGAAAACCTTAACGTTTAAAAGGGTTTAAGAAAGGAACTTACCCACTACCACTCAATGAAAGAGCTGCCCTACATCTTGAGGAAACAACATGCCACCGCCCACCCACCTCCAAGGGTGGCAACTTCTGCTTCAGAGTTGTGTGGAATGAAGCCAGGTTTGAATGCTTCCCACCATGTTTCCAGGAGGAAGGGAGTGTTGGAGAACTCTGATGAAAATAGAAAAGGAAGCAGAAATTAGGGCAATGGGAAGGGTTGGGGAAAGCTGCAACTTCTGAAATTCCTTCTTCTGCCAAGCTGTTAGAAAGAGGGTCCTTGCTTCCTTTTGCTCCTGGCTAAAGCAGGTGAGAGCTGGACCATAAAGAAGGCTGATCGCCGAAGAATTGATGCTTTTGAATTGTGGTGCTGGAGGAGACTCTTAAGAGTCCCATGGACTGCAAGAAGATCAAACCTCTCCATTCTGAAGGAATGCAGCCCTGAGTGCTCACTGGAAGAAAAGATCCTGAAGCTGAGGCTCCAATACTTTGGCCACCTCATGAGAAGAGAAGGCTCCCTGGAAAAGACCCTGATGTTGGGAAAGATGGAGGGCACAAGGAGAAGGGGAAGACAGAGGATGAGATGGTTGGACAGTGTTCTCCAAGCTACCAGCATGAGTTTGACCAAACTGCGGGAGGCAGTGGAAGACAGAAGTGCCTGGCGTGCTCTGGTCCATGGGATCACGAAGAGTCGGACACGACTAAACAACAAAAAGCAGGTGATGGGGAATCAAGCCCAGGAGCCAAATGCAGACATCTAAGGTCTCTTCCCAGGCCACACCCCATCCCAGTCCCTTCCTCCAGGAATGTTTTTGCTTGTTGGAATGTGTCCATGAACTCTGATAACATCACTTGCTTGCCTCGATGGAGGATATGAGGGTGTCAATAAACTAGCTGACTGTACAGAGGTGAAATCTACATTTATTACTCCACCCACTTTTGCTTCTAGCCCCACCCACCAATGGCATGCAGCCCCCAGAAGACTGTATGTGATGGGGAAAGGTTTACTATTGCTTTTTAAAAACATCCACACCCACAGCAAAAATGCAAGTAGCTTTGCCATGGCAATGATGATTTCTTTAGGATTTGTTCTGCTACATAGTCTGTCTGGGCGATAATAAAACATGTGGTGCCTTTGTAATCTATAGGGTAGATTCATATGCACTAGCAGCAAGAAAGTTTGACCCAAAACAGTGTTTACTGCCAAGTAGGGATGCAGGAGAAATTCTATTCCTTTCTCAGTTAAAGGTAAATCTACCTGCTCCACACTTTCTTAAAACGATACGCCAACCGAAACCCAGCCATCCTTCAAAATTCAGACTTCTCTGAATTTTGCAGTGCAGTTCTTCAGCCAAGTAATGTCTATAAAAATGCACATACTGGAGTCATGTGTATATATATATATATATGCATGTATTACTGAAAATAACATACAAAAATGCCTTATATTAAGGGAAGTTTGTTTGCAAAAAGGTGTATATTAGGATAAATTGCATACATTTAGGAGAATCAGGAGAAATTCACACTACAATGGCAATGATTTCTTCACGAAAACTTTAAAAAAAATGTGCAAACTGGTGTGGATATGTGGAGAACTAAAATGAAGACTGGAAAAGTGAGAAACTGAGAGAAACTCAAATTGACAGATTTGTCTTTTCTTATTTGTCAAAGGGATAAAAAAATTCTAAATGGTCTGGGGAAGTTTACCATTTTAAGTTTTGATGGCATGTATTTCCGAAAGTTTGTATGTTTAACTCACTCTTGGATTCTCTAGTTTTGTTTTTCAACAGCTACCATTGTAATGGCCACTGGCTACAACCAAGCAGTAAATATTTGACTGGCTGATGTATTGCCCTCAATCAGATGTTAAGGTGATTTGTAAGGTTGTGGGGGGAATAAAAGCAATACAGTGTATGGAGAGGCAAAACCAGTGAACGTTTTCAGTACACAACAGCACCTCTTATCCTTCTTTGGCAGAAAGGTCTTTCTCAATTCCTAACATGCCGGAGGGGAAAAGAATCACCCTAAACTTCCAGTTTCTTCAGCAGCAGGCTTAATGCAGCTAGTCTCATAGTTTCATACACTTCATTATCATGTGTTTGTGGATTAGGTAGCAAACCCCTGAACTTCCCTTTGTCCTAGCCTATTGTCGAGCATTTTGCTTGCCTGAGCTTAAGAACCTTGTAACCATTTTGCTTCCTTTAAAAAACAGGATGAATGGGGTGGGCAGGGGGGTGGATAAAACTAAGGAAAAAGGGGGGGAGGCCTCTTTGAGGTCAGGGAAGCATTCAGGCTGCAGCTGCCCCATTCCCAACAACTCCCAACGGGCGCCCAAACACTGTGCCAGCAGCTTGGGGGTGGGACGAGGAGGAAAAATACACCTGCTTAGGGCTGGGACGATCACTTTCACGCCTGTTGGGATTAGAGATTTTAAGTGTCGTTCCAAATTGTGCGGATAAACAGCCTTGTGAAAACTTGTTAGTGCGGCAAAAAGGCTGCTTAGTTGCCTGCCTTTTGTTATGCGTGATTTTTATTGGCGGATTGGATTTGATGAGGTTTAGGGTTTATTCTAAGAACTCCATTGAAGAGCTGGGCCTTTTGTCTCCCGCCACAGAGCGTGAAGATTATGAAACATGGGCCAAGCTAAGCCTGCATTTTGACAGGTATTAGCTGCTGGGATACATGAGGACCACCAGACACAGCAAGGCCTCGCTGCCTGCCACCATTCCACAGTTGCCAGCCTGACTCCTTCCTGCCCATCCATCTACTGCAGGCCTGCTGTTTGTCTTGTCCACCTGAGATCCCTCTCACAGGTGGCGCAGGTAAGGTGATGGGATGCAAAGGAGGCCATCCACTTTTACATATCCTCCAACTGTATTGTTTAGGGCAGGTTTTCTTTCCTGTTCCCTGATCCTAGAATTCCATGCTCCCTATTTTTGTTTTAGTAGGATGCCATGTTAAAATGTTCTGACTTGTTAGCATTGTCACACTTTGGGGTTCAGCTCCATCCACAGGGTCTCTTGGAGAAGAACATAAGAAAAGCCTTGCTACTGGATCAGCTTCCTCACAACTTCACCAGCCATGGGCAGTTTTCTGAGGTGGAAGATGGTTTAGACCAGGAGGACTCCGGAATTGGAAATCTATGGCCTTCCAGATACTGCTGTATTACAGCTGCCAAAATCTCTTATCGTTGTCCATGATAACTAGGGTTGATGGGAGCTGTAGTCCAACAATGTCTAGAAGGCCACAGATTCTCCAGCCCTGGTTTAAGTAGCAGCAGGTAAGAAACCTAACAATGTTTTTGGCTCTTGGAAAAGTATGTAGCCCTCATGGAAGTCAGGTTTCGAGTTATCTCATTCAAGAATCTGATAAATATGTGCTGCCAAGCCCTTGCTAAGTCCACATTTTCTTCAAGTTATCCCACTGTTTCAGTTATGCAGCTTCCCTTATCCACAGCTGGCCCTATCATTAGGCAGAGTGAGGAACCTACCTCAAGTGGCAAATACTGCAGGGATGAGCAGCAATGGTGAGGTGTTGGGTGGCAGAGCTGTGCATGCTCCTTAGCCTGCTCTGTTCCCACAAATCTAGCTTGCTACTGTCTGGTTTGGCAGATGATGTTGTTCCATCGCTTGGTGTTGAAGTAAGATTCAGCTTCCTTGTGTAAAATGTGGGTGAAAGGAACTGTTGTGTCCTTCCCCAAGCAAAATGTCTTGGGCCAGCCCTCCCCTTCACATGTGTACTGAACTACAACTCTCATCATCCCTGGCCATGCTTGCTGGGGCTGATGGGAACTGTAGTTCAGCAACATCTGGAGGGCCAAAAGTTCCTCATACTTGCTTTGTCTGCTTGCTCCAGAATCATTTTGGAAGCTCCTGGCAAACAGGGAAGCTCAACACCCAGCATAGCTTAGCCAAATAGCAAGGCTGAGTAGCTGTCACATTTCCATTTGATTGCTGGGCCCCAGAGGGCCGTGGGGCCTACTTTTCTGCTCTACGAAGGCCATTCCTCAGCTCAAGTAATGGGACATGTCAGAGCAAGTCCCACTCTGTAAAAGGTGGGACTTTCTGAGGAGCTGCTTTCAGATGAAAGTGAGCCTGTAGGGCAAAGCTTCTTCCCAAATTGCCCTGTTGATTAATCTCACCCAAAAGCGACTGACGATAAACAAAACGATTAAAAGATGGATCTGCCAATGCAAGTTGATTGTTATCAAAGTATGGAGTGGTGTTGGTGGGGAAAGTGCGAGGGAGTCAAAGGAAAACGTCACAGCCAGCTTCTAATACACCAATCATTTGAAATGTTACCCATGAAATATTGTAGAAAGAGGCTGGCCCACCTATCCTATCTTATGGATAGAAAACCAGAGGCTTGGAGAAGACCCAAAACTGACATTCAGATTATCCCCATCCTATAATAGCTATTAAAAACCAAGCAATCAATAAGTCAATTCAGCTCTTCAGAAGATGTTCAGGAAAAGCTTTTGGTGACTCTACAGGAAAAATGCCGCAGTTAAAAAGCAGCCACAAGGAGCCCCTCTGTGTGTGTCCTCAGGATTCCGGTTTGGTGTAAGGAGGTTTCAGGCCAGACCAGAGGTGACATCTGCACCCATAACAACAAACCCAGCTACTAAGATCTCAGGATCAGGCCCTCTTGGCTGTGTTCTCAGAATGCAGAAATACATCTGGTGGCAACCAGAGGGAAGCTCTTCTTTGTCATGGTGCCGTTTATGGAACCATCTCCCCCTGGGGGAAAAGGCAGGTGTCAAACATTTATTTACCCAGGCCTTTGGGGATTACTGCTACCTGGCCTTGAGAATTGTTCTGGTTACTGAATTGGTGGCAGTGCTTTAATTTGCATCCATTGCAATGTGTTGTTACTGGTTTAAAATTTTGTTTCTTGTCTTTTATGATAGAAGCCACCTTGATTTCTCCATTACGCTTGGCAGAAGTTGATCTGGTAGATCTTATGACTGAGTAAAAGACATTGAGCGGCTCATAGGAAGCTGCCTCATACTGGGTGAGACCATTGGTCCCTCTCTCACTACTGTCTACACTCACTGGCAGAGGCTGTCTAGGATTTCAGATAGGGAACATTCCCAGCCCTGCTTGGAGGTGCTGGGGATTGAACCTGGGACAAAGCATGACAAAGCAGATGCTCTACCACTGAGCTATGGCCCTTCCCAAGTACACATCACAGAATATCTTGCTACACATGACTTGCCTGGTTTTGCAGAAATTCTTTCCTACTCCCTGCATCTGTGCAGACAGCTATGACTTCACTTGCAAAGCTTCTAAGCAAATCTGAGTCTGCTGCCTGTCTGCATTCTGCTGTCAGGTAATATTCCATCCGCATGGTAGCTTATGAAGGAGCATCATGCGTGGCTTGCTTGAGGAAGGTTCTGCAGCCTTTCCCCGTCACAATAATGTATTTGCTAGATGGCATCTGATCACTCCCGTCTGCTCTTTCCAGGACAAGAATTTCCTACTGCAACTTTTGTTATGATGTCAATTGGAGTTTAAAGTAGGGTTGCCATATGTCTGGAATTTCCCAAATGTAACCAAAATACTGCATTTGGCACCAGTGTCAGGGCAGAAATTGGAGAAAATGACACATGGCATTTCACTGTTTGAAATATGGCAACCCTAGTTTAAAGGCATGAGCAACAACTTGAACTGAACACTGAATCCTTGATGAAGGGGCACACTTTGCCCTGGATGTAATCACACCGAGACTCTGGGTTTGGAAAATGTATACTAGATAGGAAAGGTCCCAATTCTAAATGATGGAGGAGAGGGGGATACACAGAAGAGACATACAAATATCTATGTCTCCTCTCCCAACGTAAATCTCAGTGTTGCAAGTACATAGGACTGAGCATACAGAGGTTGAGTGAGATGAATGCGTAGTTTTGGTGGAAGGCAAGCTACAACGCAATACAATGCTACATGCAATTACAGAGTAGAATGGAAAACAATGTGCTCTTATGTCCCAAGCTTGGAGAGGAGCCTTTTAGTGCACTGTACACCAGCTGCAGGAAACCTGCCTGTGGGCCTCATTGAGCCCAGCACACGTCCTAATTTGGCCCATGAAGCTGTTTTCCCCAAGCCACACCCTCCCAAGCCACACCTGCCATCATAAGTATTACATCAGCTGTGGGGTAGGTGAAGAAGACACGGCTGCAAAGGAACAATCATGAGCCTTGAAATATGGGCTTGCAGAAAGCACCTTTTAAATTGGACACCAAAAGCAAGCCCTGCTGAGATTGGATGGAAAGCTCCTGAGTGGAGCTGATCCATGCCAAAAGCAAGGCTTGAAGCCAGTGCTGATCAGCTGATTGGCAGTGACCAAGCCCCAACTGGATCAACTCCTCCCCCTTTTTCCCTGGCAGGGAGGGGCACCATTTGGTGGTTCGCCTCAGATGTCAAGATGTCTTGGGCTGTCCCTGACAGCACTCTTTCCACTTGGGATTCCCAGCAACTGGTATTCAGAAGCATACTGCCTCTGATAGTGGAGGTGGAATATAACCATTGTGGCTAGTAACACTGACAGCCTTATAGCCCATGACTTTGTCTAATCCTCCTATAAAGCCATCTCAGTTGGTGGCCATCAGTGCCTCTTGTGGGTGCAAATTCCACGGGTTTAATTATGTGCTGTGTGAATCTGTCCTGACTCCTAGCAACGTTTTGCTTCACTGGATGTCCACGCATTCTAGTATTATGAGAGGGCTTTGCAGTACACCTTGCTGCCCTCTAACAACACCATGCACTCTCCACTATTAAATATGACATGATACTCTGATGTACACAGAAATGTAGCAAGATCCACGTGTACTCCATGCTGTCAAAAGTGGTATAAATTCACTCCGTTTGTTTTCAGGCTGTTTCCCCTGGTACTCCCACCTCTCCTCCACCTCCGCTGCCTGATAAATGAAGCATGTGGGGTGGGTGGGTTAAGCCGTTTTCCGCCGCAAGGCCTGAAGCTCTGGCTTGCCTGCTATCACCAGGATAAATGCAGGCTTTTCGGCCTAGAGGCGGGCCCCAGCCCTCCCTCTTTCCCTCTTGAGTTGGGTTATCAATCCAAAGCTCCACATCGCTCATCCCAGCCTGGGCTCGCTCTCCACTGGGAGAGACTTGTCTACCCTTAGGCCATGAGCAAGACCATTGTGACTTAATTCTACACAGTATCGACACCAAACAGACTCCGTCTCGGGCGCTACTAGCTACCTATCTTTCTCTTTTGTGTTCTTCTGTTTTTTTCACTTTTTTTTAACGTTCTCTACCTCCCGCTTTTTAAAATGAAAAAAAAATAAATCATGCCTCTGTGTACCGTGTACCATGTGCTGGCTGGGGATGATGGGAACTGTAGTCCAAAACATCTGGAGGACACCCAGTTGATGTATGCTGTGGAAGGCCATTCCTTGTTTGTTTCTCAATTCCATGAGATTTTAAAAATCTTTTGCTTTTTTTTTGTTTGCTCTTAATTGCAATATCATTTAGGGATTTTGAATTTCTGTGCTTTCCCCTATAACCCCAGCCCTCCAATTCATGCCACCTTTTGGAGGGATTTTATAGACTCTTTTGACTGGCAAGAGATCAGGCAAAATTGAAACAAATACGTCCCTGCCATTTGCGCTCTATAGACGTCAGATGGCATTGGCACACAAACTAAAATGCCATGTGTTACCATGGTGCCATTGTCAGGACAGCCAGCACCAAATCATGATTATTATTTTTTAAATGCATGTTCTATTGCTTCTGCTTCTTCGTTGTCATCAGGGCCAGCCACAGACATTTTGCAGCCTGAGGTGAAGGACAAGGTGGCACCCACTGCCCATTCTATGCTCAGAAGCAGTGGGATCTCACTACAGCATTCTCCACTAGGGATGGCAGGATCTCTTTATTTCAGTTTTCACAGTTTTCTGCTTTTCCAATCTTAAATTCAGTTTCTGCAGCAACTTGCATTTTAAAAAAGCAGGGTGGAAGAAGAATCCTAATGGAAATTCTTCAGCATTTTCATGCAAATTTATCCTTATAAACACATTTTTGTATGTAGTTTCAATTTCACATAACGCATTTGTCTATGCTATTTTCACTGAAATGTTTGTTTGCATGTACATTTCCCCTGATATATGCATTTTTAAAAACACTGCTTCAATGAGTGCACATATTGAAGGATGGTTCTTGTGTTGTTTCAGAAACTGTGAGTTAGATACATTCAGCTTTGAATGTGGGAGGACTGATGAGAGGCAGATTTTTGGACATGTGCAGGTGAGCTATTTTTGACACACACACACACCTGGGCAATCATCCCCTAAAAAAGCTCAACAATTCTGTGCCATCTCCCCCCATTTTCTTAAATTTGAGTCCCCACAAATAAGGGGGCGTCATACATGGGGGCGTCTTATACATGGGAAATTACGTTGTCTACATCTACATCTACATCTAAATCTACATCTACATCTTTCTGCCAGGCCTAGCCCAAGACATTTTGGCACCTGAGGCAAACCATAAAGTGGCACACACACAGTGCCAGGGAAGAAGGGAGGAATGAAGAACATAAAGGTCAACATCAGAAGTAGGGGGTGGGAGAAGACTAGTAGTGCCTCCTATTCACCCAGGCTGCTGTAGAGGCAGCATTGGGGGAGGGTGCTGCAAAAGAGGTGGAAGAGTTGGCCTCCATGGAGAATGCTGCAGCTGCTGCTGGCAGCGCTGAATTTAGGGTGGTACAGGTGGTTGCTCCCGCACAGGGTACTGAGCCATAGGGGTGCAAAATTGAAAAGATCCATTTTGGGGTGCAGAATTTTGGCCTTGCACAGGGTGCCATTTTACAAAAGATTACCAAAGTCTACCCCTGCTGCTGGCACTGCAGCAGCAGTTGGCAATATGTTCCTTAGAGGCTAGATTTGCTGCCCCTGTGGATCCTGCTGCCCAAAGCAGTCACCTCATGAGTGGGCCAGCCCTATTTCTTTTCTCCAACAAAGGTGGGTGTTTAGGAAGAATGGCCAGGGGGCTGTTATACACATGCACACACACCCTGCCAGCAGATCTGGGGGCTAGGATTGCTCTCTGAAAGGCTTTTAAATGCACACTTAAAATTGTAAATTGTGAATGTGTCGAATACGTGTATCATACAGGTTTTCTAGTGAATGAGTGCAGCTCTTTTTTATGGGCATGCTCAGTAGCACACCTACTTTCCCTCAGAGTAATGTTATTTGCTTAGATTATATTACTTAATTGGTATTTTATTGCTTGTGTTTAGTTCATAAACTATTTTAAAATTAATATGAAAAAGTGGCATGTGCATGTTTAAAAATAAATAGTACACAACATGGCCCTTGGATAAATTTGACACTTCCCCTCAGGAATGTCTCTGGCCCAGTAGAAGTAAGCAGCATTTGTTCAAACAGGGCTCCGGCCAGATCGAGTTATAGGCCAGGAGGAGAAGGGAGGATGGAAGAAGAGAAGGATGTACCAGGAGTTTTCTGATAAAAAGTTAACTCTAAGGCTGCGTACACACAATATATATTTAAAGAACATGGCTTCCCCCAAATAATCGTGAGCACTGTAGTTTGTTAAGGGTGCTAGGTGCTCTGTGAGGGGTAAACTACAGTTCCAATTTCTCTTCAGGGGTGCTTTACATGTATTGTGTGTACGCAACCAAAGCAGAAGTTGAGAATGCAAAGCCTTTCTATTGCTGTGTTCTTTTTGAGCAACGGTGTAGTGAAAAAGGCCACTTTTTTCTAAAGGCTCTTCTTATCATCAGAATGTAAAAACAAGGAAAACACACAGAATATAATCTGAATTTCCAACTGAGTTGCTCTTGCTTAATATTCTTCCCTGAAGGGTAGTTTTTGTGCACGTGATGGCATTTCAAATGGGATCATTACAGGAGGCTCATACTGTGTTTGCATCAGATGCTGCATCTTAGTTAAGAACTCAGAGTCTTGCCCATTATGATGCTGCCAAGAAAGGAACAAGAGTAGAAATGAGCTTTGCAAACGGGGTCATTACTGCAAGCCTTAGACACCAATGACAATAATCATCATTATAACATATATTACAGTAACACCATTATTGTAATAATAACAGCTAGCATGGCCACCCCTCTGGAAATAATAATAAGAATTATTATTATTCATTTCATGTGTCCAAATCTGTAAGCTACCACAAGGCGGTTGTTTATGCATTACCTCATTACAACAGGTCTGTAAGGTAGGCTTGTATTGTTCATCGCACCTCAGATTCAGGGATGAATCTGAGAGACAGCCTGCGGCCATTGATTTTCAACACGTTAGTTCCCTTTCCAGGACGGAGAGCACCCATATGTCAGCAGTGTGCTACTGGCGAAGGGAAAGGATGAAGACGACAAAGCCCCATTTGAAGTGGTGTGCCGCTAGCTTCACGAGACCTGACAATCAGCTGATTGTCAGCGGTTTGCAGACTGTGCCTTGGCCCACAGTCTGATATCAAACCATGGGGTGGGGGGAAAATAAGTGACCTGACGTCATTGTAATGTGAAGAGATATTATTGTTGTTGTTCTTACTACTACTACTATTTTATTTGAAAATTTAACATGCAAAAGAAAGCAGGAAGAAAGGATAAAATCAATAAAATAAAAGTAATGCCAACAACAACAAAAAACCACTATCAGTTCACATTACAGATACAATAACTATCAGTATATGTATGTCAGCCACAAAATTGACATCTACCTGAACTATGTTCAAATGTAGCCAGGGCCATGTGGCCCTCAGACCATTGCATAATGGATAGAGGGTATTCATCCTTCCAGGCTCAACCTATAAGTGATGGCAAGTGATTGACAGGTGGCGGCCACACCGACCTGTCAAATTTGACTTGCGGGGGCTGAGGGGAAGGTAATAATCTGGCCCAGCATGTGGACTCAGTTTCCCATCCCTGCTCTAGTTGAATGGCTGTCCAGTCCAAGTCCTGTTTCAATATGAACCCTAAGGAAGCAAGAGGAGCCCATTAAAACCTGGACAACGTACTGAGCAGGCACACAGGTCACCTGTCTGTCCACAATCTCCACTACTAGGGTGAGAGGGATTAAAAAAAGGTAAAGGGACCCCTGACCATTAGGTCCAGTCATGACCGACTCTGGGGTTGCGGCACTCATCTCGCTCTATGGGCCGAGGGAGCCGGCGTTTGTCTGCACACAGTTTCCGGGTCATGTGGCCAGCATGACTAAGCCACTTCTGGCGAACCAGAGCAGCGCACGGAAACGCCGTTTACCTTCCCGCCGGAGCGGTTCCTATTTATCTACTTGCACTTTGACGTGCTTTCGAACTGCTAGGTTGGCAGGAGCTGGGACCGAGCAACGGGAGCTCACCCCGTCACAGGGATTCGAACCGCCGACCTTCTGATCGGCAAGTCCTAGGCTTGGTGGTTTAACCCACAGCGCCACCTGCGTCCCCGAGAGGGATTATATTTCTGCATAAATTACAGGAATTTCTAAATCTGTACCTCTACATATAAATCAGCTTGTGTAAATATTATGCAAAATTGTGCCCCCTTTTCACTCTCATTTCATCTTTTCTTGGGGGGATGCATATGCAGATACCCCACAGGTTCTATAATCCATTCAGCACACACTTTCAAAAGGGTCGGCTCTTGAAATTTCCGTCAGTGGGAGGAATGGAGCAAGCTGAGCAATCTCCATTCGCCCATGATGACACAGGTAGATGCCCCTACCCTTCAGTTGTTGGTATGAGGATATGAACAGAATAGGCTGCTTTGTGTCCTTTCTCAGGATGCCACAGTAGAAAGATTATGTCCTCTCTAGAAAACAGAGCAAAGTAATATCCTCCAATAACTAACTCAACTTGGTACTCCTTGTGGGCCAAAAAGGTGAGGGAAGCATATTCTTGCACATTAGACACGTATGACTCACACAAAAGTAAGGTGTGCCCTCCAGAATAAACCTGCAAAGGGACACAGTCATTGGGCCTGTAAATATGTAAATATGGGCGGCCCTAGGTCAGACAAGATGTCTGTCTCCCCCTCTGAAGAACATCCCCCTCAAAACCTCGTAAAATGGCTGCCTCAGTCTCTGAAGAGAAAGCTCCCAACTCCTCACAAAATGTCTGCCTTCCTCTCTGAGGAGCATCCCCTCAATGCCTCATGAATGCTGCCAAGGCCCCGGTTGCAACTCTGCAGGCTGCATCAAACAAAAGCACTAAGCCATTTAGAGAGCTTCTAAATACCAGGTATAGGCTGAAATCCTACACCCATATACCTGGGAGCAAGCCCCACTGAACATTATGGGTCTTAGTTCTGGGTAGACATGTATAGGGTTGCACTGTAAATTTGTCTTTTGCTCCACAGCCTGTCTCAGGGAACCTAAATATAGCCACCATGACACAGAAAAGCACCCTAGGCCATTTTGTGGCAGCAAAGAAGACAAGAGCGAGGATGACACATCCCAACTGATTTGGCTTGCAAAATTCTCTATTAGTGATTCAAGTGAAACAACTCCACGGCCGGGCTCTTGCTATAGGCCTCTGTCCTTGTCTGAGAAATAGCTCAATTCATTAATTTTTTTATGGCCTATGTTCTGGCTGTACAGGCTTACTTACCTCATGGCTAAAAATAAATAAAGAATTTCCTGAGGAATAACCATTCTTACCCTGGTCACTTCCAGATGACCTGTTTATTGAGCATTCATCCTGATATGTTTGCAGGGAAGTTATACAAGCAAGCATTATTCCAAACTTTCTTGTGCATTTTCCTATAACTTACCTTATTTCAAAATCTTGATTTTTTGGGGGAGCGGCGAAGCATGTTCTGTTTTGCTTTATCATTTTAAAGTGTACACCCTCACTTTTTGAGGAACTTCCCTCACAGAGCAGCTTGGAATCTCCAATAAAAACTGCCTGACAATAAACTATAACAATACAAGAACAGGGTAACAAACAATGGACCACCATAAAAAGCATCCCCTCCAACATTTCTCCAATGAAAATAGGGACGTCCTAAGGAAAAGTGGGACATTCCGGGATCAAATCAGAAACCGGGATGGCTTTTGTAAATCCAGGCCTGAGAGAGGTATGCAGCACTCAAGTGATTAAATTCTCCCAAACTGCCTCAGGGCTGTCAGTTAACAAGGAGAGATGGGTAGCTTACTAAAGGGGCCTATAAACACCTGAGCCGTGACTTAAAGGTGACTCTGCCCAAGGCTTTGTGGAGATTAAACAGACTATTCAAACACTCATTTGAACCTTTCTTCACCTTGTTTTCCCATCTCTTCCTCCTCTTTTTCAGTCTGCTGAAATTCAAGGATGCTAAAAGCCAACAAACACACAATCTATATTTGGAATTTGCCAAGGGTAGAGTTTCATTTAAAGAAAGAACAAGGTTTCTCACGGTATCCACTGTTCTCTGGAAGCCAGGGAAGAATTTGCTCCTGACGCTCTGTGCATAAATGTAGCCTATTTTCAGAGTGATTTCTATCAGTAGCTTTACCTCCCTACCCCCCAATCCTGCATTCAGTGGTGTCAGTGAAAAACAAAATCTCATACAAGTACTATAAATCTTGGAGACCTACTTTCCATCTCTTTCTACTACATTTGGCCATGCCTCCTTGTGGTTTAACCCCAACACTGTAATGGTGCCATGTGGCAATTGAGCAGAATGGCCAGAAAAGACTTAAGAGGGACTGTTGAAGGTGACTGCTTCCTGCACCCCAGAATGGCTGCCTGAGATGGTCATTGCACTCTGCCTAGAGGTGTCTTCTAACTGTTCCCATTCTGTGTGGAACTGGGAAAACTCAGCCAGTCTTTTGACTATTCCTTTGAGTAGATTGGGAGCCTGTGGCTCCCCAGATGTTCCTGAACTGCAATTTCCATCACCCTGAATATTGGCCAGGCTGGATGTGGCTGATGGTAGGAGTTGGAGTCCATCAGCATCTGGAGGGCCACAGGCTACCCACCCCTGAAATAAGTGGTTCCACCATCTCTGCCCAATAACAAACTGCTTGAGAAACTCTGCAGTTTCAAAATCAGCTTGCCATGAGGCCCAGGGTGAAACTAGCTGCAGTTATGTTTCAAGAAAAACTAAGTCTCCCTTGAATTTGCATTGCTGAACTAGTTTCACGTTGCTTTAGATCCTGGCACTAAAGGAGATCACACAGATCAGGCATGGGGAAACATTTTCAGCCCAAGAGCCACATTCCTTTCTGGAAACCCTTCTAAGGGCCACATGCCCTTGGTGGGTGGGCCCAGAGGCAACCAAGTAGGCTGAGCAGCAAATGTGAATTTTATCTCTGTACAGCAGGCATGTTCCTACAAAAGTATCACACTTTCCTGTTTTCCATTTATAGAATATGCAACATCCTACAACCAAAGAGCAGGCATGTGAACTTTTTATTTTAAATGAAAAATAACACAAACGATACACATGCTTACTTATTGCACATACAAAAACCACCCATTTATACATAATAGCCTGTACTACACCACAAACATAGCAAGCTTTTACCCGTTTAGCGGCATCCAGGAATGGACACTGGGAATTATAGTTTGTTAGGGCGCCCAGAGATCTGTACGTGACCCCTCCCACCATACCCTAAAAACTGGAAAAGGGGAATGACTATTAAATCAGTTTAAAGCAGTCATATAGCTATAGAATCTTCCATCATTTCTGACTGGACCATCACCCACAACAGAGCGATCCTAATCAGTGCACAAATACCATTTTTAAAAAGCAGCTTCTGCTCCCAGCAGCTTCTAGCATTAGAGGCAAACTTTCTGGTGCTCCAGCCACCACAATATGGCCATATATGAGCATGTCCTAGAGCTCTACATTCAAATGCCTTCCCCAGGGAATGAACAGCAAGTTCTCACTTTATGGTCTTGTGGATTATTTTGCTCAGAACAAACACTTGCAGTATGGAATGTATCACATTGTCATTTTTGAGTTTCGGTAGCTATTTTTTAGGTTTTTAGCTATTTAAATATTGTTCTGTGATGTTGTATTTTATCTGTTTTGTAAACCACCCTGGGATCCTGTAGGTAAAAGGGTGGTTTAAAAGTAAATAATAATAATGTTTTGCCCATAATTAGAACTGAATTTTCCTTTCATCTTTTGGTGACATGTGCAGTATTGTTCCTAATTTGCATTACTGATTGCAAATCACAACAAATACTACCAGATAGTAATGCTAATTCATGCCACTAATCCAGTCTCCTGATATAAATATGTTATACTATGCAATAAATTCATTCCGTAAAAAAATACACAACAGTAACATACAATTCACATCAAAAATCTCTCTTGTCTTTGATGTTGGACACATAATCTTCATTCTCTTCAGCCTGATAAAACATCAGAGTTGAGACTCATTCTCACCTCAACCCAACCCAAGGATTTGAGTTTCTTGATATGGCACCAGTTGTTTAAAATATATAGATATATATATACTATAAATAGAGCTATGTGCATTTTTTTAAAGTCTAAAAGTAAACACATGACATTCAAAAAAATACTCTGCATGTAACAAGTAAAACTTGAATATAATTTAAACAAAGGTCAGTGGGGTAGCAGCTTTAAACACGGATGCATCTTAAAGACTAGGGATTGTATCCAACTAAGTTCTATTCAGAATAGACCTATTGAAATTAATGGACCTAAGTTTGTCATGCCCATTCATTCAATTGGGTCTCCACCAAGTATAGCTAATGTTGGATACAACCCTATGGACTTGGTCCAAAAACTCACAGGTTCAATTATGGGAGATGCTTTCATGTTAAAGTTGGATTTTCATCAGTCTAGAAAACAACAGCAACAAAACAAAACCCTTAGGCAGTTCTCAGGTTCAATATTGCCAACTGATGCCAAAGTAGTTACAGTAATGGGAGAGAAAGCCTGTGCTCCTGTTATCCTATCCACTAGACACAACATCTGGAGGGCCACAGGTAACAGCATATGTTCCAGCAGCAGAAGCTAGCCAGGGAGGGATGTGAGAGGACCAAGACTCTCAAGAGAGAAGGGGGCAGGAGGGGGCTACTTCTAAGTGCAACGAAAGTCCATGCAGGTGAGCCCACTTTCCAGACCACAGGGCACTTAAACATGAAGTGTTGTATTCAACGTAGTGACAAGGACAATGTTTCAGCAGGACTTCTCCTTGTGCAACAGAATGTTCTCCCCATCTCCTCCCTGCAGCACCGCAGGTGCCTCTTAAACCAGTTCTGGTTTTTCCCCCAATCCTTCAGAGCAGAATTGGGGATGGCATGCATGCAGAGGAAAAAGGGGGAAATCCCATTGCACTAGAGCTAACTCTTTTGCCAGTGCAAATATTTAGCACCTCGAAATGTTTGAGAGTTTCTGACCAAGGTTGGTCCACTGGCAATATTTGACTAGATGACAGCTGTTCCAGCCCTGACAGCTTTAAAAAAACAAGGCCAACCTTAATATATTGGACAGCAGCAGTGAAAATATTCAAGACCCAAAAAGTTATAATAGTTGGAAAGACAGCCAGGAAGAAGCAACTTCCCTCCTTGCCAGATCACTGTACTGGACCTGACACCATTTGGACCAGATGGGACTGGTAGGTCTGCAAACATTACAAAAGATTTCAGCTGGAGAGACAGTGTCTTGTCCATTCTTCTAGCAGGCTAGACGTATTCAACCTGTTTTATTAAAAACCATTTGGCTTCAGACACATGCAGGGTGGGCAGGAACCTGCTGCTTTGGACACGCTCCAGCTGGCTGCACACTCCCAGTTTTCATAAGCTTTGAGCCATGTGACAGTCATTGTTCACCAACAAGATTCAACACTGCGTGCTTTTGCAGTTGTGCAACTGGACTGACACCTTCCCAAAACATAGCAACAATCATAACAATAATGAACCTCTGGACATTAGTCCAGAATATTTCTTGAGAACAACTTTCCTTTTGGTGCAAAGCAAAAATATTGATTTGGTTTAATTTATTTAAAGAAAACATTTAGAGCAATAGCCCTAAAAGCCTAGACCACCAGGGTTGTATTTTAGCTCTTATTTCCACTAGAGGAAATGCAAAATATAAATGCTTTTAAAACTTAAATAAGACATCTTGCAAGCAGAAAGCCAGTATTCTGTCACAAGAATGTTGTCTTATAGGATCAAAATCCATAAAAGGTGCAGTTTTTACAGACAATGCAATTATGCATTTGAACCTGTAGATTCAGACTTGTGAAATGGTTCAGCACATCCTCAAGGATTGGCGCAGAATCGGAAAGCTTAACAACTTTGGGTAGTTTGCATGTGAGGGTTTTTTTGGGACACATGCTACCGGTAATCTATGAACAAAAGCAATATCCTGTGCATGCAAAGTCAACCCACACTAACTGGGGCAGCAGCAGGGACGGAATCAACAATGGTTACATAAAAAATAAAAAGCAGAAAAATAATCATGAGAACTAGCCACATTTCCTGATCATTCTAAATCTCTCCATGCTTTTTTTTCCCCATTCCGGGCACCTTGTTTTTAGTGCTAGCAGGATCAGCAGTGCATGAATATGCTGGAGGTACCTGGAAGCAGAATAGGAAATGGAATAGGACAGATAGCTTGGACCTGGATGGGAAACAGAGCCAACACCACTGTTTCTGCAGTTGACAAACACAAAAGGAAGGTGGAGCAAGCTTGTTTTTTGCTGCTCCAGAGGTTCAAATTACAAGAAAGGAGATTCCAATGAAACATTAGGAAGAACTTCCTGACAGTAAATGCTGTTCAACAGTGGAACGGACTGCTTCAGATGTGGTGAACTGTCCTTCACTGGAGGTTTTTAAACAGAGGTTGGATGGCCATCTGTCAGTGATTCTTTAGCTGTGATGCCTGCATTACGGGGGGTTAGACTAAATGAAACTCTAGAATTCTATGATTGTATGACAGGAAAATGACCAGGAGACGATGTAGAAGGCAGGCAGCAGGAAAACAACCTGGAAGCACAGTGGGGTAGCCTTCTGGCTTCACTTAGAAAAATAAGTAGCTCAGACTCAGGGAATGCAACAGATCTAGAAGCTGCAGCAGGCAAAGTAGCATCAGGATTGGCTGTCTTGCATCACCTGATATTCAGGATCATGAGGATTCTGCTCCAAACTGCTTGTATCATGGTTTGAGCCAGATTGAAGTTCCTTTCTCCAACACAGGGCATAAAGGCCAATGGCAACTGACCCCTTTCAAGCTCCTTTCTCCTGGTCCCAGACATCAGGCTTCAAGGCATATATGTCCTTCTCAGCTTTTATTCATGTTCTTGAGACCTTATCATAGGACCATATATTCCATTTTGTTATCCACTGTGTTTGCATTTCACCAAGAGAAGCCATGCACCAAAATGAAGAGTGAAACAAGCTTGAAAAGTTGCATCTACTTGTAAATAATATGGGCCATGTGCTGGGCTCAAGATGCCCATGCTCAGTGGGCTACTGATGCTCTGGTATACCACAGGAGGAACATCAAACATTTTAAAAAGCACAAGTCTCCCACCCATGCAAATATGGAAATCTGTAGGCACCTCGCTTGTGTGACCAAGCTAAGGACTGAAGGGCCCACAGAAAGAGAAAAGTGCGAATGCGTGTCATGTGCTTTACAATTCTGCCTGAGCTGGGTTCTTGGCATAACCCATGCCTTGCTGGACACATCGAATGAGTTCCTTGCGGTTGTCCAAGATGGTGTCAAAGCTCTCCTGCAGCCGGTTTTGCTGGTCAACCACCTTCTGCTGGAGGCTGCGGATCCAGCGGAGCAAAGCCAGGCGACGATACATCACCAAGTGGACATGGTGCTTCTCTTTCTCCTGCTCCTTGAACTTCTTCTTGTCCTGAAGATTGCGGAAAGCCTCAGCCAGTGCTGGGAAGAGGGTCTCAGAACTAGGAGGAGAGTTCTCTGGCTCAGCTTCAGCAGTGGAACATCGTTCTCCATGACCCTTCCAGTCTTCAGTGGCAACAGCAAGCATGTCCCAAGCACTGGCTGCCCCACTGTCAGGACTATCAATGCTTAGGGAACTGCTGGCATAACCATTGTCTTCTAAAGGGGAGCTGGCCAGCTTCCTTTCTTTTATCCTCTCCTTGGTCACCACCTTCTCATGCTCTGGGTCATTGACTTCTGCTCCTTCTGGAGGTCTGCGGATGTCCTCTTCCTCCTCTTCTTCTTCTTCCTCCTCCTCCTCCTCTTCTTCAGAGGCAAAGGACATGCCACCAGACTTCAAGCCCTGGGGGACATCCTGTGGTTGGCTCACTGCAATTTGCCTCTGCATAAGCACTATTTGGTTATCAGATGCCTCGGGTTCATTGTTCCCTCCTCGCTGCTCCGATTCCCCTGGCATGAACTGGCTCCAGTTCTCATTGGTGTCATAGGCCTCCTTGCCCATGAAATTGAGGTTTGTATCTGGCCGACAGTCCCTTCCACCAAGGTAAGCAGTGTCCAGTTGAGAGTTCCCCTTTGCCTCATTGAACAGCGGGTTAATGGGTATCTCTGGCTGACACATGGCGAACATCTGTGCACCCTCCCAGCTGGGGAAAAGAGAGTAAGAGAGAGAAATATAGGAACAAAATGTGTAACCCACACACAGGTCACATCCATGTAAGAACATAAGCAGAGCCTGCTGGATCAGGCCAATGGCCCATCTAGTTCAGCATCTTCTTCTTACAGTGGCCAACCAGGTGCCTGTGCAAAACCTGCAAGCAGGACTTGAGCACAAAAGTGCTCCCCCTTCTTGCAGTTTCCAGCAACTTGTATTCAGAGGCATAATACCTCTGACCATGTGGGCAAAGCATAGCTTCCATCACTAAGGGCCTTTTTTTGGCCTGTGTCAAGAATTAGGGAACCTATGGCCTCCAGATGTTGTGGGACTCCAATCTGCTAACATGGTCAATGGTCAGAGTTGATGGGAGCTGGAGCCCAACAACATCTGGAGAGCCACAGCTTCTCCATCTCCTGGTCTCCTGCCATGTGTGAAACAGGCCTCAGCTGAAACCCCACAAGTCACAATTGGGTGGTAAACCATTTTGAGAGGCTGCGATAAGGCACACATCCGCAGAGGACACTCACAATTTGGTTTCTTTCTTTCTCTGCTCTTTCTAAATTTGCACTCCAGCAATGTCATTGCCTCAGGCTGTGGAACTTTGGCAAACCCTGGCAGTAACATGCAATATATTTTTTCAAAAAATAAAACACCTACAACGTGACTTGAAGAGAGGCTGTTGGCTGTGACTTTTGACAGACAGAAAGACAATGGAGATGGAATTCACCTACACCTGGGGCAGGGTGGGGCTCATGGCTCTCTAATGTTTTTGCTGACTTACAACTCCCATCATCCCTGACCACGGGCCATGCTGGCAGGGGCATTAGGAGTTGGAGCCCAACAACACCAAGAGACACACAGGTTCCCCACTCTTTGACCAAGGGCTGGTAACAATTTTTAAGTGGCCAGTGACCTGTTTCTCAAAGCATCTTCTGCAGGCTGATGAGGTGCAGAGATATTCCTGCTTGCCTTCATGCACCACCATTGTAAAAACAATTTAGTTCACCAACCCAAAGCATTTTCATGACTTTAGGCAGATTACAGGCCAAACAAGGGAAAGGCAGTAGGTTTGGGGGCCTTGGGTGGCCTGGAGGTTGCAAAATGAACACTGGGCAACTCATGGACAAACTGAACAACTGAACAGAGGGTGACGAGGCCTATAAACAGAGAGACTCTGCTACTCAGCTGCAGCACAGCTGATTCCCATACAGCAGTTTTTGCCAACCTAGTACCCTCCAGATGTTGTTGATATACAACTCCCATCAGCCCCAGCCAGCCCCATATGGTGATGGGAGCTGGAGTCCAGCTACATCTGGAGGGCACCAGACTGGCAAAAGCTGCTGCTCAACAAGGATGGGGAACTTGTGGCCCTCCATATGTTGCTGGAGTCCAGCTCCTAAACCTTGCCAGTGATCAGGGATGATGGGAGTCAGAGTCCCCATCTGGAGGGGCACAGCTTCCCTCTCTCTGCTATACACAGTCTAAGGGGAGGCTGGGCAGTTTCCACCCCTGCACTTATATACCTCCTAAGCTTGTAGCAGTTTTGTCTACACACACAAACACACCGGTCCTAATCCTCTCTCGAGCCCACATTGTTTAACTTTACGACATACGAATTCAGCAAAGGAGCGGGGGCGTCAATCTGGCATCCTGCCAAACGCAAGTGGTTGCGCAGAAAGGCACGGTCGCTGCTGCAAAAATCCCTTCACAAGCAACAAACAGGGAATATGATGCAGTTTTGTCCCAGCTTTGGCACCGAAGGGGATCTGGTTGCAACCACCACCACCACCCCGCCGCTCTGTGTGTGTCAGTGCGCCAGCCCCTCGCAGCTTTCTCGCTTGCTATAACCAGGCATGTAACCGGCACTCACCGCTAGAGCCTTGTAGAAAATCAGTGGGGAGGGGTGGGGGTGTTTCAGTCTGCGTCTCTTGCCGCTGAGCTGCTGGAGAACGGAAATCGCATTAGGCAATGAAGCAGGAAAGCGTCACGGGCTGCCCGCTTCCTAGAGCAGGCAAGGTTGCTGCTGCTGCTGCTGCTGCTGGTACTGCTGGCACGCAGCGGGAGGAGGAGAGAGCTCGGCGGCCGAGCTGTGAATGGCGCGCTCTGCAGCCACACAGGACCGCCGCTTGGGAGCACGACAGCAAGGCAGCGCCGCCACGGCACCTCCTCCGTCCGCAGCCAGAGAGGGCCCAAGACCAGTGCTGGACTGGTTTCCGGAAGAGTAGCTAACGGCTCCACACTCGCACCGCCGCCGCCTGCCCGGGCCAATTCACACGACCCAAACTAGCGTGTAGAGAATGCGAGTGGGAAAGAAGGTGGGAGTATTTGGGGGCGGAACCGACCTGCTGCTGGCATTCTGGCCGCTAAACGAGAGGAGCGCCAACGTGCGTAAATAACTCCTTACGGTTTCTCTTGGTCGACAGACACGGGTAAATCACATGGCAAAACTCTCTGCGGTGGACCGACTCAAAGTGTGATGGGGAAAGGCGGGCCGCGGGGATGATGATGATGATTTCAACTTATACACGAGATTGAATGCTATGTATGTGTGTACACACACACACACACACACACACACACACACCCCTCCAATATCAGAGGGCGTGAATACCATGGGGGAGGGTTGTGGTTCAGTGGTGGAGCATCTGCTTTACATGTAAACACTCCTTGATTCAACCCCTGGCATCTCCAGGTACGGTGCCCATCTGAAATCCTGAAGAGCTGCTGAAGGCCAGTGTAGACCAGACCAGTGATGGCCAAACTTGGCCCTCCAGCTGTTTTTGGAACTACAGTTCCAATCATCCCTGACCACTGGTCCTGTTAGCTACAGATGATGGCAGTTGTAGTCCCAAAACAGCTGGAGTTTGGCCATCACTCGTGTAGACCTTTGGCCAAATATTGCTAAACTATGACTCCCACCATATTTGACCATTGGCCATGCTTGCTAGGGCTGATGGAAGTTGTAGTTCAGCATCCTATGGAAGGTCAAAGGTTCCCCACACCTAGTGTAGACCTCTGAGCTAGATAGAGCAATAGTCTGATTCAGTACCAGGGATATAGGAGTGGAAGAGTGTGGTAGCGCTCACAGAATTGGAGGGTCATCTAAGTCTTGCTTGTGGTCTTCCTGTTGGCTTCTGTGAGAAAAGGGTGGAGGACTGAGTCTTTGGCCAGATATGGGAAGGCCCTTCATAATCTCAGACTCTTCTGAACACCCTCAAAAAAATGAGCTCCCTGCAGTGTGGGTAGAAGCCAAGGGAGGTAATCGGGTTTGAATTCATTTTAGGGTTCTAAGCTGTAAGTGCCTAAACAGCTGTGCCACTCTTTGGGTGTACTGGAGTGAGAATTACTGTAAGTACTGTTGGTCATCAGTTATGGGGAAGTGCCCTAGCTCAGAGGTGGAGCACATGCTTTCCTTGCAGAAAGTCGCAAGTTCAACTGCCAACCTTTCCAATACAGTGGATCGTTCTGAGTTTGCAGGGTGTGGCATGATACTTGCCCAAGGCCTTGGAGAGCCATATCCAGGCAGCAGTGGTGGCTGGTGCCCATTGGGACTGGTAGGATGGAAGGCAGGGAGACCCAACAGTAGGCAGAACCAGAGCCAACTAATTCCACTTTTGTCCTTGTTCTCTTACCTGCTGAAATCTACAAGGGCAAATGGGTGGTAGTTTTTTCCCCCCTTTTCTGTTCTGTACCCCACCCTGGGATCTGTATTGATGAAGGGTGGGCTATAAACACTTCAAATGAATAAATATATATATATATAAGACAGCTTCATATGTAAGCTCAGGGCGAACCTGTATCACTTGCCCATTCCTTCATGTCTCCCACACCCTTCCTCATACCCACTACCATCCCCACAGATAGTATGATCTCAAAAGGGTCTCTTATCACTACTCTGTGCCCTGGAGGCTTCTTGTCAACTTGAAATGAGAAGAGGGAGATGCTGGAAGAAGAGCAAAATTCTGTAAAAGAATTTGGGGCACAGGAGTGTCTGGTCACATGAGAAGCCACATAGGAAGTGGAGATAAAGGGGCCTTTTGTGTTCACTTGGAGGACATTGAAGCAAATTTTATAATTGCGTTGTTATTTTTATTGCAAAGTATCAGCTGCTTTCTACACAAGAAGTCTCTTAAGTGACTTACAAAATGCCCAAGAGCATAAATTCTCACAATTCTCTCCTGTTTCATCCTCACTACAACCCTGTAGGTAGTTTAGGTTGAGAGATAGTAAATAGTCTAAGTTGAACTTCATAGCTCTGGAGATGAGAACCCCTAGTCCTGGTCTGACAGTCTAACGCACTAGACGATCTTACAAGTTTCCTAGTTCTGCTGGATCTCTCAGTGGCCTTTGACACCATCGACCATAACATCCTTCTGGACCGTCTAGAGGGGCTGGGAGCTGGGGGCACTGTTATACAGTGGTTCCGCTCCTTTCTCCTGGGCCGTGTCCAGAAAGTGGTGGTGGGGGATGAGTGTTCAGACCCCTGGGCTCTCACTTGTGGGGTGCCTCAGGGTTCCGTCCTCTCCCCCATGCTTTTTAATATCTATATGAAGCCGCTGGGACAGATCATCAGGGGGTTTGGGCTGGGTGTTCATCAGTATGCAGATGACACCCAGCTCTACCTCTCCTTTAAATCAGAACCAGTGAAGGCGGTGAAGGTCCTGTGTGAGTGCCTGGAGGCTGTTGGAGGATGGATCGCGGCTAACAGATTGAGGTTGACAAGACAGAAGTATTGTTTTTGGGGGACAGGGGGCGGGCGGGTGTGGGGGATTCCCTGGTCCTGAATGGGGTAACTGTGCCCCTGAAGGACCAGGTGCGCAGCCTGGGAGTCATTTTGGACTCACAGCTGTCCATGGAGGCACAGGTTAATTCTGTGTCCAGGGCAGCTGTCTACCAGCTCCACCTGGTACGCAGGCTAAGACCCTACCTGCCCACGGACTGTCTTGCCAGAGTGGTGCATGCTCTAGTTATCTCCCGCTTGGACTACTGCAATGCGCTCTACGTGGGGCTACCTTTGAAGGTGACCCGGAAACTGCAATTAATCCAGAATGCGGCAGCTAGACTGGTGACTGGGAGTGGCCGCCGGGACCGCATAACACCGGTTCTGAGAGATCTGCATTGGCTCCCAGTACGTTTCCGAGCACAATTCAAAGTGTTGGTGCTGACCTTTAAAGCCCTAAACGGCCTCGGTCCTGTATACCTGAAGGAGCGTCTCCACCCCCATCGTTCAGCCAGGGCACTGAGATCCAGTGCCGAGGGCCTTCTGGCGGTTCCCTCATTGTGAGAAGTAAGGTTACAGGGAACCAGGCAGAGGGCCTTCTCAGTAGTGGCGCCTGCCCTGTGGAACGCCCTCCCACCAGATGTCAAAGCAATAAATAACTATTTTACTTTTAAAGGACAACTGAAGGCAGCCCTCTTTAGGGAAGTTTTTAATGTCTAATGCTGTACTGTTTTTAACATTCAGTTGGAAGCCGCCCAGAGTGGCTGGGGAAACCCAGCCAGATGGGCGGGGTATAAATAATAAATTATTATTATTATTATTATTATTATTATTATTATTATTATTATTAACCCAAAAAATTGTCCCGTAGCACCTTAGAGACCAACTAAGTTTGTTCTGGGTATAAGCTTTCATGTGCATCTGAAGAAGTGTGCATGCACACAAAAGCAGAACAAACTTAGTTGGTCTCTAAAGTGCTACTGGACTATTTTTTATTTATTTCAACTGTGTCATACCAACACGGCTACCTACCTGAAAGTTGATTAACAGTACAGTGCTATACATGGTCTACTCAAAAGTAAGTTCTACAAAAGTAACTTCCCCCAAAGTTTGTATAGGATAGCAGCCTGTGCTGTTTATTTATGTAGCAAGCAACATACATTTAATAACAATAACAACACACTTATAAAATTCTTTAACCAGTTGATAAGCCTGCTAAAAATACTGTGCAAAAAGCAAGCAGGGAGCAAGGTTTTATTTTTAATTTTTAAAACGCATTATTGCCCCAAACAAACAACACCCTGCTGATTCTGTCCAAAGTGTGCTGTGGGTTATTTCATTACAATTAAGAGCAATGGGCAGAAGACCTCATTTGACAGCTGTGGGAATAGTAAATGGGAAAGTCCAGGTCATCCCTGCAACCGATTCAGCAGCCTCCACTTTTCATCCTAGCAAGTCATTCATGGGGAGAGGCATTTTCTGATAGAAGCAGGTCTCATTTGGGCTTTAAAAGCTCAAACCAGCACCTTGAACTGGGCTTGAAACCCAGCTGGATGTTGACACAACAACGGTGGCAACTTTGATAGGCTTTTCTGGTACCTTCCCTCTCATGGTTATTTCAGAACATCAGTGCTCCCAGTAAACCCAGAGTACTCCAGAATGCCCTTTCCATTTATTGCAATTTTGATCTGGCAACCTCTGTCGAGATCAAATACCTGGATTCCCTGACATTCAGGCATGCTATTTGCTATGCGCTAGAGATAACAGCTCAGCTCAATATCTGATCCAGGGTTCGTGCAAGTAACTGCCCATGCTCCTCTCCCGCCAGCAACCTGCTTTTCATCTGTTGTGTTTTCTGTTAACCAATCCAGCCCAATGTGCCACAGCCTTTGAACAAAATTGTTCCCAGCAGAGGCCTCAAGACCCCACTCCCCAGCCTGATGACGTCGGCATGTGTCACAAGAGCCTGTTGCTCTAACCTTTTTCCGTCAGGAAGGATGAATAATCGAGGCCTAACCAGTCCCGCATGTGAGGGAAGCTTTGAAGGGGAAGATGGCCAGGCACAAGACACGAGGGCAAAACCACCAAATCGGAGGGGTGGGATGTTGCACGAAAGCTGCCTAACTCATCCTCTGGCTGGCTCTTCAGGGCTCCAGACTAACTCTACAACTCATATCAGCCGCAGTAGAGATTAACCGGCTTTGCCCTTTTTTAAAAAAAAAAAAATAGGAGCCAGCAACTTGCAGAAAGCAAGGATGTCAGCAGAGCCATGCTGGACCAAACTTTGCTGGTCCATTCAGTCCAGCATGCCAGGGTTCCCACAATTTTTTATTGCTTATTCGTTCATTTAAAAGCATTTGTAAATCTCATATTTAAAAATCTAAGTGGTATATAAAAATGCAATAAAGCAGTGTCATAAAAACAGGTGCAACATAAAAACCAGGGAAAGTATTATAAAAACCAGAATTCAGTAATAATGGGGCCCTTTCTTACGGGTCTGAGAAAGTCAGGGCAGAAAGATAACCCTGGGAAGCACACAAGCAGGATACGCACCCAATAGAT